GCCCTCCCGCCCGTCCACATAAAACGCGTAGCAACTCAAGGCGTGCTCGGCGGCTTCCTTGTACTTGCCCGTCGCCAGCTGTTCGTACATCATACCGAGTTTGAAATACGTGTAACGGTCGTTCGAATTCAAATCGATCGCCCGTTGGAAGGAGGCAAAGGCCAGCTGATGCTCCCCCTGGGAAGCAAAAGCCGCCCCCAGATTCTGGAAGATGGTGGAACTGTTCGGCTGCAAGGTCAAGGCCTGCGTGTACAAGTCACTGGCGGCCTTGAAGTTCTGGGCGTCGTGTTCCAACCTCCCCAGCACGTTCAGGAGCAACGCGGAGCCCGACGCGGAGGTATCCCTGGATAAAGCCTGGAGCTCGGGGAGGACGTCAGTCAGGCCGCCTTGTAGGACCGGGCGGCCCGCCTGCCCCTTGTCCTTGGCCGGTGCCCCCTCGGGAGGGATGGGTCGGAAGCCTAGGGCCGTGGCTGAGGCCTGAAGAGGCTCGAGGCCCCTCCCCTCCTGCCCGGCGTCGCCCACCGTCACCTGTCCTATGCGCCCTCCCCGGTTCAAAAACCGCTCCATGGCACCCAATATCAGGCTATGGGCGGGAGAAAGTGTTGCAGCCGCCGCTTCGCCTCCGCCCTCCGTCGCGTCCCCTTCCTTGACTTGCAGGGTTTCCAAGTGCAAGCTCTTGCCCCGAGACTCCACAAACACCAGGTCACCCTCCCTCTCCCCCTGTGCGCCGTACAAGACCAGCCGGCGACGTTGGCGGCCCCTTTCTCCTTCTTCCTCTCCTGCGAAAGGCTCGCCAGATTCTGAGCTCACCCTGTCCTCCCTCAACGTGCGTCCCCCTGGCAAAGCACGTGGGACGCTGTGGAAATAGCTCCATCCTCCTTCTTGCTGATCATACAAAGGGGACGGTGGCGATGACTGGACTGATGGCGCTTGCCCTTCTTGAGGTGCTGAAGAGGCAGTGAAAGACAAAGGGCTGCGAGGGAGGAACAGAGGACGGGTTGGAGAGGTCGATGGAAGGGGCGCTAGCCGGAAGAGGGGGAGGGGGCGGAGGAAAGCGCCCGTTTGCACGGCGTGGCTCAAGAGGAGGAGGCTTAAAGTGCAGCACTTTGGTCGAAACATGATGCACATAGTGTTTATCGGACGGGTAATTCACAAAAGGGAAGTCTGCGGCTGTCCTGGGGCTTACTAACCTCCGCGTCCCGCCTCCACCTTCGATGTCGATCTCAAAGATACTTCACTGTTCAGCACGATTTACGACGCCATGCACGGTGCCTCCTCTTCCTGTGGTAGTGAGCCCCAAAAACTATGGAAGTGACGTTTTTTGTTGGGGCGTGGAATGTTAAAACATTGCAGTTGGCCAGTCAATAGGTCCAACCGGGGTACTTGAAGCGACTCCGAGTCCTTGTCGCCTCCTCCCCCTCCTCTCCCCAGGGCGGTCGATGCCACAATCACCACACAATGCCGCAACCAATCCAAACTACGCGCAGCAAAGACGCGAGACACATTACGTGGTATGGCCAAGACAGAGATGCGACAGTCCCTTTTCGCGGGATCATTTCGTTGCGAATGACCATCACCGTGCAACAACCCACCCCCGGAAGGGTGGCGATGCTCATCTTCTCCATAAATAGCCACGCAATGGACATTGCCTAGGACTCGCACCATCTTTTGCACGTTGCATGTCATAAGCACTGTACAATCAGACAATGGAATGAGGGGGGTTTGCAACTCTTGGACGTGTCCCAATTCTGTTTTTTGCCCTCGTCATTGATTTCACCGTTCCTCCCCCTCCCCCTGTAAACATTCCATCCCCACAGGGTATTTCGCAAGTGAAAGTCCTGTACTCACGCCTCGGCTTTTGCTGTCAGCAAAGCGATACCGGACAGTGAGTGGGATTTCCGGTTGCCGTTTTAAATCTGTTGGCTTATCCGGGGGGTAATGAGTGAAAAAACAGAGGACGCCGTGAATCAGGCTCAAGGGGAAGGGAAGGAAATGGAAGTCATTGAGGGAGTCGATAGCTCCACAGACCGAGACAGATACGAAGCCAGCGGATTGGGAGAGGGTAGGGAGGAGGACGCAGGTGTAGTTGCGCCCACAGAACCTCCCACCTTGAGAGAGAGCGATGATGAAGAAAGTGATGACGATGATGAGGAGGAGGTAAAGGGGAAACAGGGAAGGAGAGCGGGAGCGGAAGGAGTACTAGGGGGCGCCCGCATGGCTGAGCAGGGAAAAAAAGATGATGGTGAAGGTGACAACGAGGCGGAGGACGAAGAGGAAGAGGAAGAGGACGAGGAAAAGGGAGGAGAGGAGGAGGAGGAGGAGGAGGAGGAGGAGGAGGAGGAGGA